GATGGGCATGGTTGTGTGTCCACCGCGAGCCTCCGAGCAACCGGGTGAGAGCGACCAGGGGTAGTTCGGGGAGGGCCCACTTGCCTGGATAGAAGAGTGAGGGGAAGCGACTATTTTCAACTCGTGCTCTCTCTCGTGACTTCTCTCAGCGCATTCCTCGAAGAAGCGGAGCAATGAGTTCGCATTAGGTTGCTGCTCAAGCAGAGCCACTCCCGGAGCGCTACCAAATACCCCTTATGTATGCAAGCGGAAATAGTTTGCCCAATTACACCAGGAACAGGATTGCAAGCCAGAAGAGCCAAGCGACTCGACCTAGAACAGGGAAACATAACAAGGCGAGCACTTCGTTTTGAAAATGATTTCATTTCGGGCCTGTTTGGCAGGGCTCCTCTCTAGCTCCTCCAGAGGAGACCTGCCAAACGTTTTTTTGGAAGAGCTAATTTTCAGTAAAAACCGAGGAGCCAGAGCCGTTTTGGAGGAGCCACCGGAGAAGCACCTCAGTAGGAGCCGTGCCAAACACCCCCAAAGGTTTCAGGCACAATTTTTATATGTCTCTCGGATAGGCCCGTTAACGTTTCAGGCACAATCTTCAATGACTCTGGCTTCTCACTATAGTACCGAGAAGCTGAAGTCGGCAAAGCCAAAACTGACGGTGGCTCCTAATTCGTTTTAAAATGAGATATGGTGCACAGAGGAATTAGAGCGCTCCAATTTCTTTTCCTCTCCTGTCACCAACCAGTCGATGGCTAAGGAGCACTTTCCCTTACCTTCCGTGAGCTTAGGATGGATAGTGTACGAGTTTTAGAGATCGGGTGTTTCCTAGAACATTTGTCACGTTTAGTCGCTTATTAGAGTAAGGGTTAGTGATGGTAGTCTTGCCCGACAATGCCGGTGGGTGTAGGCTTGCCCGACTATTGTGATGTATGCATTCATATAGTATTGTGAAGATGTTTTATGATGCATTCTAAATTTTTAGAAGCAGTTGTTTTCATATAATACAGTGTTGGAAGTATTTTGGATCCTACTTTAACTGTCTTTTTGCTTTTTGAAATGGGTGGAAATAAATAGCTGTTTTAAAGGAGATAGCGAGGGGAAGTTTCAACCAAATAACTTATAGTTTTACCGCAACACATAGCTTCCAACGGATTTTTCGCAACTCACGGTTCAACCAAATCTCTTAAAAGACGAAAGTGGCACCATCCGCTCTAGCCTCATATCAAGCCACGTTGCCTGCACCAGATTGGCCACGTCAGCGGGAAAACCCTGGCCGTCGGATCTCGATGGTACGGCTCAGACATCTATCTCATCCCCTCCGGTTCGCAACACCGCCGCCTGACCCGCTGCTACGCCTCTCTCTGCCTATAGCGCCGCCTGGGGACGCCGCGCCGGGGTCGCCGTGGGAGGGGGCCCGCCGGGGCTGCCGCGCCTGAGCCCCACGCCTGCATCCCCGCTCGAGTGGGGGTCGCCGGGCTGCCTCGCCCGCACCGCTGCCCGCGCCCGCGGAGCGCTGCCCACTGTCAACCTCTGTCCCGTTCGCTACCCGAGGCCGGCGGGGGTTAAGGACTGCTGCACCGCTGCCACCGGCGCACTGCGGTTATCATGCGAGATGGAGATTGAGGCATATCACCAGTTCACCACCACTTCTTCAGTTCTTCTTGCTAGCCTCCCCGTTGCGCCCCTCGGCAAGTCCATCCTCCTCGATGACTCCATGAAGCCTTTCTGACGCCGGTCGCACCACCGTCGGACTCATCCCGAGCTCCGGCCACGTCCTGAAAGGGTGTATCCGCCGTCTCCTCCCACAGGCGTTATGTCGCGGCTGCAGCTGGCGCTTGGCAAGCAGGCTCCTCGCCCAACCCGTGCCTGTGCTCACATGGAAAGCACATCTCTGGTCTCCGTGCTCCTGTGTGCTCCGTGTTGTCGGCCGCCGTCGACCTCAGTGAAGCTATCGATGCTTCCATGGATGATGGCCTGAAAGTGTTCGATGAAATGGACACAAGGTATGCATTTTTTTCCCTAGCGCCCCCAGCCCCGCCCCCCCAATATTTGGTTCTTCGCTTTGCCGATGTGTGATTTTTTTACAACGCGATGCGGGAGGTCAAACTATTGCTTCAACACTTCGGTGACCCAACCATTGAGTCACAAATTGATTGTAGTGATTCAAAATATCAGTAACTCGATTTCACAATTTACCTATCATAATTTTACTCCTGTACAATATCACATTTATGTGTGGTGGGTTCTGCCACAGTTACAAATTCTTTTTGTAGTCCTTACCCACTTGTTTTCAGTTAGCTAGGACAATATATCATCCAATGTTTTCTTTGCCTTGATGCCACCAGTTTAATTTGTGAGATAATGTATAATCTCACAATCATAATTGTCTGCACTCTTATATTGTATAAAAATCAATCATTAATGTTGCATGATTTGTTCCATATTAATTCCTTGGTATCATCATATCTGAATATCTGAAGTTCTCTGAATTATTTACAGTTAGATCCAGCAAAAAGGATGCCAATTTCAGCAATACTAATCCTGATTTTACTATTTTTAATTCCACTTGCTTTAGATTTTTATTTGCAAATATTAACTGAACCCACTTGAATTTCAGTTTCAAAGAGGTGAGGAGGTTACAAAGACATGCTTTATGCTCTGTCCTTCATGCTTTGGCTTATGATACTAAAACTTAATAGTACTGAATATGCTTTGAACAGCGTTTCTATATGTGGACTTACTAAACTCAAAAGAATTAGGATTTAGCCGGCTAAGAATAGTATCTATATGTTATTACAGTATAGTGTGGAATGACAAATGAGACATGAAACGTAACCATTCCAAAGGAACAAGAGTATCATGTGTAATGAGATTATGTTGTTGGATTGTATAATCTGAAAGGACAAGTTCACAACCTAGTACAGAATTTTGTTCTATCAATCAGTTTATAAGAGATGCTCATCTTCTTACTATTTGTAGGGCAAAATTAAGATCAGAAGGGACATTGTGATGGTTCAGCGCTTGTATGCTGGTGATGGCATGCGAAAGGAAGTTGGTTGTCCCAGTTTGTGCCGGAGCAACCTCAACTCTCCAAAAACTTGAGGTGCTCAGCGTCCATGTGCACATCAAAAGTGTTCGCAGAATAAAAATGATATATGTGGATTCACGGTACTCCAAACGAAAATTAATAGACATTTATGTAAACGAAAATTAATAGACATTTATGTAGCATTCTTGGTCAGATCATTAACTTCATTCATTGTCATATTTTGACATCATCCTTGATTTATCTTCACGGAGATAAATTTGTTAAAAACAACAACAACAATGGACAGCTCCATTTTGGGCGCGGCTAAAGCCGCGCCTGGCTTTCTAGTAGATCCTAAAGAAATACACGTATCTATATCTCTTATCAAGTTGATCCCCGATACAAGTCTACATCAACATGCAAGCCATCCACATCACCCTCCATTAACTATCCAATCACCCTCCATTAACTATCCACATCATCTTCACTGATAGGCACGTCATCCCACTAACTTCTAACATCTTAGGGCCTCTTTGGCATGGCTTATGCTGGCTTCGGCTTTATCTATTTTGCGCAAATCGAGACACTGTAGCGTGAAGCTGTTTTGTAAGCCGGGGTTAAAATGAACTAGAAGCTGAAAAAAGCCAGTTTTTCTGGCTTCACCGGCTTTGGCTTCACCGGTAAAACCGTTTTGGATAAGCCGTGCCAAAGGGGCTTTAATGTAAGCCATCCGTATTATCTCCACTTAATTTTATTCCATTTTTTTTTAATGCATGCAGCATCTAACATCTTAATGCAAGCCATCCGTATTCTCTTCACTTAATTTTATTCTTTTTTTTTAATCCATGCAGCAGCGCGTGAGATATCTACTAGTTTACTAGAACTGAAATTTCCAAACAAAGCTGATTTATGGATAGACAGTAGGGGGTGGTGCATAGCAAGCTGGGCCGGGCTGAGCCTCTTTACCAGGCCGGACAAACAACAACGCCTACGGTTTTTGTTCTTGCGCCCGAGGTCCCTGAGCAACGAAAGAGCGGGCATCCTGTGCAGCTCAAATGAAAAAGCGGAAAAGTGCACCTCTTGTGGCTTAATGGCCGGCGGTGATGGGTTCCCTCGTCTGCACAGTCATTGCTGCGGCGGGTGAAGCTCCTTGAGCCAACCGTCTGCCTCTTCTCATTTCCGAGCTCTGCTTAAAAAAATGGCGTACGTCCAGGTGCAGAGCTCCCGCTCTGTACGGAGTCTGTGGAAGAGTGTCAGTGATAACCCTTACCCTCGCCTGTGCAATGCGAGGAGACCGCGACTGGAACCCGAGACCTTTCGATCACAAGCGGTAAGACTCTGCCGCTTACCAGGCCCGCCCTTCCGTTAACAAAATCAATTTGCCGTTTTGAGAAACCAAAGCCTGACCGTGCTTGATTTCTTGGCAATGGCAATTCCTCCTCGGCAGCCACAATGCACACGAGACATCATGCATTTGCAGTCGAGACATCATGCATTTGCAGTCTCCAGGGAGGCATCTATCTTATCCCACAATTTTTTTTATCCGTTTTCATGCGCCGAAACGGGCTTAAAAAAAGCCAAACCTGTTGTGTTCTGCCACTGACGATATGTCGATATGGGTACCATTTCCTTGACGAAGCGGCTGAGCCTGTCACCCACGCTCGCTCACTGGCGCATGCCAGCCAGTGCCTAGTGGCCATGTGAAGGAGCTCAGGGGGGCTCTCGGGGCACGCGGTCATGGCAGGAGAAAAGTAATGGCCGTTCTAAAACCAAAAAAGGAAACGACAATAAATATACGGCGAAAAACAGTCGCGCGTCTTTAAAAGCAGCGCTCGAGTGGCCACTGGTGCCAAGCGAGGAGGCTGGGAGGAGAGCCAGTAGTAGCCGAGGAGCCAGTGGCCAGTGGCCAGTGAGCGACGACGTTCCAGTGTCCGTCCAGTAGTCGAGCGAGGAGAGGAGGTCCAGTGGCCGGCCATCCATGGCTCGTCTCCGCTGCCTCTTGGTCGCCTTCGTCCTCCTCGCGGCCGCCTTCCGCCTGCCAGGCGACGCCATTGCCTCCCGCGGGCACCACGGCCCCGCCGCGCACGACTACAGGGACGCGCTCGCCAAGTCCATCCTCTTCTTCGAGGGCCAGCGGTCGGGCAAGCTGCCGCCGTCGCAGCGCGTGACCTGGCGCAGGGACTCGGGCCTCTCCGACGGCTCCTCCGCCAAGGCAAGTAGCTAGTGACCGCCTCTCTGCTTTCAGCCCTGCATTGTGCTGTTTGTTGAAGGCCGGCGTTGTTCTTGTTGACCGTGTGGCTGGCGGGCAGGTGGACCTGGTGGGCGGGTACCACGACGCCGGCGACAACGTCAAGTTCGGGTTCCCAATGGCGTTCAGCATGACGATGCTGGCGTGGAGCGTGGTGGAGTTCGGCGGGCTCATGAAGTCGGAGCTGCAGCACGCGAGGGATGCAGTCCGCTGGGGCGCCGACTACCTGCTCAAGGCCACGGCGCACCCGGACACCATCTACGTCCAGGCAAGTGGTGGTCTTGCTCTTCCTGTTCCTGTTCCTGTTGCTGTTGCTGTTGCAAGTCATGGTCAAACAGAAAAGAGTCACTTGCTAGTAGTAGTACAGCAGTACAACAAGCACGGCACGAAAGGCTGCTTCCTTTTCTGCAAGCAATGAAAGAAAACAAATCCTCTGTAGTCCTTGCACGGTTCACGTCATCACCGTTCATCATGTGGGCCAAGCAAACAGTGTGGACTGCTGCTGGTGTTGCCCATTGGCGGCAGCGGCAACCCAAGCTGATCGATCTCTCCCCTCACTCTCACTCTATGGTCACAGGTTGGTGACGCGACCAAGGACCACGCGTGCTGGGAGCGTCCGGAGGACATGGACACCCCGAGAACGGTGTACAAGGTAGACCCCGGCACCCCGGGCTCCGACGTCGCCGCCGAGACCGCCGCCGCGCTCGCCGCCGCGTCCCTCGTCTTCCGCAAGTCCGACCCGGCCTACGCCAGCCGCCTCGTGGCCAGGGCCAAGCGGGTGTTCGAGTTCGCGGACAAGCACCGGGGCTCCTACAGCACCGGCCTCGCGGCGGACGTGTGCCCGTACTACTGCTCCTACTCCGGGTACCAGGACGAGCTTCTCTGGGGCGCGGCGTGGCTGCACCGCGCCACCCGGAGCCCCTCGTACCTGAGCTATATCCAGACGAACGGGCAGGTGCTGGGCGCCGACGAGTCGGACAACACGTTCGGGTGGGACAACAAGCACGCGGGCGCGCGGGTGCTCCTCGCCAAGTCGTTCCTGGTGCAGCGCCTGGGCGCGCTGCGCGAGTACAAGGCGCACGCCGACGGCTTCATCTGCTCCATGGTGCCCGGCACGGCGACGGACGCGACGCAGTACACCCGGGGCGGGCTGCTGTTCCGGCTCAGCGACAGCAACATGCAGTACGTGACGTCCAGCGCCTTCCTCCTGCTCACCTACGCCAAGTACCTGGCGTTCGCCAAGGGCACGGTGCGCTGCGGCGGCGTGGCCGTCACGCCGCAGCGGCTGCGCGCCATCGCGCGCCGGCAGGTGGACTACCTGCTGGGGAGCAACCCGATGGGGATGTCCTACATGGTGGGCTACGGCGCCAGGTACCCGCGCCGCATCCACCACCGCGCCTCGTCGCTGCCGTCCGTGGCGGCGCACCCGGGTAGGATCGGGTGCTCGCAGGGGTTCACCGCGCTGTACGCGCGCGGGGCCAACCCCAACGTGCTCGTCGGCGCTGTCGTCGGGGGCCCCGACATGCAGGACAGGTTCCCCGACCAGCGGAACGACCACGAGCACTCGGAGCCGGCCACCTACATCAACGCGCCGCTCGTCGGCGCGCTCGCCTACCTCGCGCACTCCTACGGCCAGCTCTAGCTCTTTGGGTGGTGTGGCTTAGCATTCGTCATTCATGAGAGGTATTATTAGCGTGTCATTGTTGCCGTGTCGATTGATTGTTCGGTGATTAGAGCACCGCGATTTGATGACCCCAGTGCAAGCAAAACCAAGGCCGCTTCTCTTGTGGGTCTTAATCTGTTGCCACTAGTACTGGTAGGCGTGATTTGTTTGTTACGTGACGCCGCTGCTGGCGCACGGATGTACTGTAAGCGGGGAGACAAAACTGTGCTCCATCCACCGAGTGTACTGCTACCACTATGGTTGCAGCTCGCAACTCTATCCATTTATCGTTCATCAATTGCATCAAGTCTGTATAAACCTATCCGCCATTTCGTGTTATTGTTGCATGATGAAGACTTGCTCCCTGTCCCTGTTGAGGACTGCATATGACGTCATGTCATGTCGTTTTTGTCAGACACTGTGGAGTGCGTAGTGTTTCTGACCGGTCGGTCAGTGACACCCGCTGACACACAAGAGTCACGGATCGAAAACAGGCTTTAAAGCCGCGCGTCCTTGTTAACCATTTCAACGACACGACTCAACCCGAGGGAGGACGTGAACAGTAACGCTAGCGTCATCGTATGAGTTCGTTGTCCTTGTCGCACAGGCGCACAGCACACATGATGGACCAAGAGATCTCATGGACCAATGCGGCGGTACCCATCGTCCTCCTTGACTTCGTTAGGCTTGGGGTTAGGGCTACGTACACACGTCACACGACACGAGTCCTCGATCAAACTAGTTCAACTGAATGAAGTGGAACAGGGTAGGCAACGCGGATGAACGCCTGAACGGCGAGGTTGGTTGGTAAGCGCCCTCGGGCCTCGCGTGACACACATGGCGATGGCTCACGGTGGTCAAGTATAACGAACTCCCCAACCGCCAAGAAACGTAAATGAGCTCACTCGTATAACAGTAGGCGGTAAGCCGGCTAAATACTGAGGTAGAGAGAGAAGAGGAGAGGCGGGGTGTAAGCTTACAACCGGCTTAGACGTAAGAACCAACAAACTCTGTGAGAGAGATAAATAGACCATGTATTAATAGTGAAGAGCTAACTACTATATGAGTGGGCTATGAGAAGGCTGCAAAGAAACCTTATAACCAACAACCGGCTATATTATTAACCTTGCTATGATGCGTGGAGTATGTAGGCGGTACTTGCACTTCCCAAGGTCTTTTTTTTTCATTTTCATTTTTCCTAAAGAGAATATAGTTATTAGGGCAGTCCCAACCCTCCACCTAGGATAGGCAGGGTTCGGCTGAGCAAGACGCCGGCTTGTTCGGCTTGTTTTTTCAGCCGGGACAGTGTTTTTCTCTCACAACAAATAAGCATGAACATTATTTTACAGCATAAACAATATTTTTCATACCAGCCGAACACTACCATAGTTCCTATAGCATTAAATACCCTGCCACATAGGCAAAAAAAAAAGATCTAATGTGGCATCTTATTTAACGAGGAAAGAGGAGAAAACTACATGAAACCGTTTCTCATACGAGAAATGACGTCGGCTCGCAATCTAACGCGCGAGGAAACCACCAGTTCCACGATGGGGAGAAATGGTTACTTTCTCCCCCTTCGTCCGTCGCACCTCTGCCCTCACCGCCTCTGCTTGCACCGCCTTCGCTCGCCATGCCAAGCCCGCAGATGCGCCTACGCTGCCTCCGGCCGCAGCCGTGACGCGGGCCTTGTTGGCCACCACTTTGCGCTCCTGGGCGAGCGCCCTGGTTGCAGCTGGGATGCAGCCCTCTTGGCCACCGCGTCGCCATCTTGGCCGAGCGTTGTGTCTGCAGCTGCGAGGAGGGCCTTCGCCGGCCACCACGCTGCTCTCCTAGCCGTGCGCCCCGCGCGCCGCCTTGCTGACCACGAGCAAAGGAGGCACGAAACCGTAGCAGGAACGGTTGCAAAATGCGGCTTAATCAGCTCATCGACGTGCTTTACCAGCCTCCACTGCTCGGCGCACAGCCACGCCCCGCGCCTACTCACGCCACTCGCTACCGCATACGAACCGCTCGTTTCTGGTCTCCTGTGCTCGTAGACTTGTAGCCGTGCCCAGAGCCTACACCACCCGCTGCCTGGCCGTGCGGCACTGAGCTCCAGTCGCACTCTCCGGCCACTACCGCACCTGCCCGCATTTGGATAAGGATGGGAGAGAGAAGATAGAGAAGACAAACGTTGATTGGTCATGGGTAGGATCGAGATGACCCACGACTATAATTTCAGCATTGGGTTGTTCAGTTTCCATAGATGGTTTCTAGATGACTCAGCAACTATGGAAACTAGTAGATAGTTTTTGGGTTGGGACTGCCCTTATACTGCTCACTAACGAAAACATATTGGTTTGAACAAGAATTAGTCAACCCTTGAAAATTACAAACATCAATTATTTAGGCCAATCTCAAGGAGGTTTCGTGTTTCTAACACACCCTTATTTTACAAACAATACATAATAGTTTCATCCTCTCTACTTTCATGAAAGTTTTATCATCTCTCTTTTCATCGATACAATGTCATGTCAGTATATTTAATGTCCATGAAACTCTCACAAAACCTTCGTTGAGATTGGCCTTAGGGCACATATCCTCGTACCATAATAAAGACTTTACTGTTGTTTGCATCCATGGTAGTGACGGATCAGGATTAGGGTCCTCACCGTCTCAGGACAGGGGGGTGGGAGACTTCAAGAATAGAAGTGGTGGTGGCACTAGGGATAGGTGGCCCTTGAACAGTACACAATCATACCTAGCAACACCTCTAACACTGTCGACACATATGGCGCGCAAAGCAACACAATCCACATGCACTTGACGTAGGGCATCCTCTGTGTGAATCAATATGAACTCTCCGTCTTGTGTACAAACCATCTAGATATAACAATGCCGTATACTATAATCAGTGATAAACATTGACAAGTTTTACATCTAAATTTGAGTTTATTGTTAATAATGATATGCAAACTTAAGGGGTTACTCAGTTATCTATTACAAAAGCAAATATAAGTAATTTAGATGCAAATGTATTATAAGGAGTTGGAGTGTTCTGAAAACCTTACATTCCAAAGAAAACAAAAGGCCCAGGAGGTAGGTGTGAGAAGTAATTGCAAGCCTACAAGGCCACATGTATATTGGTAGGTTTCAGGTTTGGCTCCAATGAGGAATCACATGGCCAATGGTGATTTCAGTGCAACGCGTATTTTTAGATAATGGATTCATTAATCTGGCCTCTATATCCATCAAGGATATACACAACCAAAATAATATAAGAGCACTTAGACTCACACCTCTTCAAAGAGAACGCACAACCAAAAAACACATCCCTTCTTCCCGACATCCTCTCCTGAAGCGGCTAGATTCAGTGAGTGGAAGGCATCAAGTCGCCGTCGCCCCTAGTGCGCCGTCGCTGTGAACATCGATGGAGCCATCTTCATCCGCTTCAAGTCAGGTGACGCCAAGTGTCGCCGGTTAGCCCACATTCATCCGTCGTCATCGTCCATTCAGAAACTAGCCGATCAGACGCGACCCGACAAGATCCGCTTCCGCCGGATTCCAAGGCCTTCGCCGCCCCATAGGGCAGCCGCCGTCACTGGGATCATGGTCGTCACCTCTGCCGGAGTCCTTTGTCGCTGCCGCCGAGGATATCCTCTTCTGCCCGCACTCTCGGCGCTGCCCTTAGGATTGCGGTTACCGACAGGATCCGCCTCCACCTGATTCTCCTCCTCGCCGAGATCTTCACCGACACTTAGGCCACCGGTGCCCCTAGGGTTGCCGCCGCCGCCGACGAGGATGTCTCCATACTTCAGTGTAGCGAGTATACAGCATATAGTACTCCTATACGGCTATATTGCAACGGTCAATCCGGTCACGGCGACTCTTCATCCGCGTAGGAGAACGAGATGCGTGCAGTAGTCAGTACGGCATTGGATAAATAACGTACCCGAAGCCTGTCCATCCTCCCAAAATCAAAACGGGGTAAAATTCGAAGAATGTTCGTGGTGCGTCCATCCTTCCTGCCAAAATTTGAGGATTGTGCGCGCATGACAGACATCATATTGAGAGTGGTCAGCGGTGTGTTTGACCCGACGGAGCACGTTGGTGGCCTCGTAACTCGGTGCAGGCGGGCCTTGTTGCTGCTTGCTGGCACGTGGCGTGTGCATGTGCATACTTGTACCACACGAGAGCTGCTGCAGTGCAGCTGGCCGGTGCCCGGTGGCCGCCCACCCGCCTGTGAGCTCATTCCATTATCCATACCCATTTTTAACGTAACATGTGGAAAATAAAATGTGAACACATGCGATGCAAGCTGTTGAGGCAACGGATTTATAGGACTGGAGGCAACGGATTGGATTGGATTCGCCCACTCAAATCATCATCAGAATGCGCTTGATGGATCCCCGCCCAGTATTTCTAGTATTATTCACACTGCATGGCTGCAGCTTCAATAATTACTCTGCTCGCTTGATCGTTTCTGTGGCTTATAAGTCAGCTGATGCTGTTTTATTGTGAGAGAAAAATACTATATCACGGCTGATATGATCGAGCGAACAGGGTAAATAAGGGACAAGATTCGTGTTACCAGGAAGCAAATGCCAAGGCGCATCAGCAAGCATTTGGTAGCCACGACGCTACGCTAAACATCTTGTAGTGGCTGGGTGGACGTCAGGCTCGGTAGGCTAGTGCAGCAACAACCAACAGGGCAAGCTGCATGCGGCGGCCGGCAGGGGCAGCGCGCGTTCTGATGAGGTCCTGCCTCTGCTTGTGACTCGCACAGGGGCAAAGCTGCGGCCCTTTCACAGAAACGGCCACGCCGCACCAGTTGGCCGCACAACATGCGACGAGCTGGCCTAGGACTAGCGGCAGTCAAGCTTAAGGCATCAGCGAAGCGAGCACCGAGCGGCACTAGTAGTCGTCTGAAAAGGCTCGGGCGCTCGCTGGTTCTTCCTCGCTCCTGTACTCCTCAGTGGCTCTGCTCTCCACGGCAC